CCCCCCCCATTCGGCGCTTCCAGCACACCGCCTCATTCCTCGCCTAACCACGTCACCTCTCTTCCCCCCCCGCACTCCCATACTATCTCACAACCCGTCATGACGACCTCCACCATCCCCACCCCCCGTCCCACCTGTTCCCAAGTAACCTCCGAGGTTTACCCCGCAATGCCACAACTTCCCCCCAACTACCTCCTTGACGACAACAGCCAATTTGATTACACCTGCTACGGCACTACCCCCGATAACCTCAACTTCAACACCCTCGCCCGGATCGTTTCCCGCGAAGGGGAAATCCCCCGTCCCTTCCGATCCGCCGACATCATGCCCTTCTCTGGCCTTCCCCACGAGCACGTTTTCCTCTTCCTTACCCAGCTCGAGAACTCTTTCAAGCTCCACCACATGCCCCTTGTCCACTGGCTTCCCATTGCCACCTCCCACCTCCTCGGCAATGCCGCCAAATGGTGGATGGCCGAAGTAAGCAACCGCCGCGCCTCTGGAGGACCGTGTCACTCCTTCCTCCAATGGGCCAACCTTCTCACTGCCACCTTCCACCCCCAGAAAACCATCGACGACTACCTCGAACAATTTTGTCACCTCCGCCAGACCGGTCCCACCGACCGCTTCCTCCAATACATTCGCTCCCTCCGCCATCACCTCCCCACCACCATCATTCCCGACTTTGTGTTCATCTCCCGCATCAAGCGAGTATGCCACAAAGATCTTGCAACCGCCCTCGCCCACGAACCCGACATGCCCCTTGCCGACCGCCTCTCTCGCATGCTTCACCGCGATCGACTCCACCCCCATCACCGGTCCGCGCCCGCTCCCTCCCGCCCCCGCGTCTTCCATAACATCACCCCTGACGACACCACTCCACCCACCTCCAATGACGACTTCGACACTGCCTGTCTCGACCCCTCCCAATTCACCATTGAGGACCTCCAGGTGGCCCACCTTATGCGGATGGAACGCTAGGATCGTGCCTCTCGACCGCCTTCTTCCTCTGCACCCCGCCATCTCCAAAAACTTACACCCGCAGAACGCATATACCTCCAGGAACACAACGGGTGTTTTCGCTGCCTCCAGCTAGGTCACCAACAGACCAACTGCCCCAACGCTAGCCGCTTTACTCGACAGGCCCCTCGCTCCGCGGGACCCGGCCCTTCTACTCCCACTTCTTCCTCCACCGCGACAGTCGGGCCCTCCTCCACCTGAACACTTTCCCCCTGTCTCTTGCAATCCTCCCCCAGCATCGACCACTTGTCTGCCGACTTTCCCATCGGTGACAATCTCTCCTCACCGGTGGCCCACTTGGCATCGACTATCCGCCTGCCTACCCCCCCTTCCGGTGATGCACATCCCATCAGACGACCCCCAGGCGACACAGTCTACTCTAGCTGCCCCCCTCCCGACGACGTCTGCTATCCCGTCGGTCGAGCTTCCCACTGGTACCTACTCTTCTACTCTCATCCCTAACCCCTTCTCTACCACCACCTCTGATCTCGTTGAGGAACAAGCACGACACGATCGGCTTGTTAGATTAGGCTTCGAATAACGCCGCCTCAACACCATGATCTCTTCTGCTTGTGCTGGAACCGCACGGTTCCAGCTCAAGTTTATCGCCGTCTCCCTTGGCGCATCGACGGTGAGGGCCCTCGTTGATATTGGTGCCACCGACAACTTCATCACCGAAGCTTGTGTCCACAAAGCCGGCCTCTCTTCCACCGGCTATGACTCCCCGATCACCATCCGACTAGGGGATAAGGACTCAACCATCGTTGTCGATCGCACTGTCCCCGAGACCCTCATGACTGCTGGTCCTCTTCGCAGTCAGGTCTCCTTCGATGTCATGCACCTCATGCGACATCGTTTTAAGGACTCCATGGCTTGACCGTTTCATGCCCTACTCCTTCCACCCCTCCTTCGTCCGACTCACCCGTCCTCCTTACTCTCCTCTTGATATCCCTTACCTTCTCCCCCCTTCTACCCCACACCCTGTCTCCCCTCACCAGTTCCTTCACATATCTCATGAACACCCCGACTCCGCTTACTATTGCCTTGTTATCGACCACAAGCGTCCCGAGGACTTGCTTCCAACGGACAAACCCGACCAAGACCCCTCCTTCCAATCCTCACATCACCGCTCTCCTCTCTAAATTCAAGGACATCTTCCCCGTGTCCTTGCCCGCCGGTTCACCTCCCGATCGAGATGTATCCCACACCATTGATCTCGAGCCCGACCATTCTCCTCCTTGCCGCCCTCCGTAACAACTCTCCGTCCCCGAGGCCAAAGAAATGAAGCGCGAGCTCAATGAACTCCTTGAAAAAGGATTCTTTAAACCTAGCTCCTCCCCCTTCGGAACCAGTTGTCTCTTCGTCAAGAAGAATGGTACCTTGGAACTTCGCATGTGCACATACTATCGTGCCTTGAACCGGATCACGATCAAGAACAAGTACCCACTCCCCCGGATATCTGAACTTCTTGATTGCCGCCGTGGAGCCAAATATTTCACCAAGATCAACCTCCGCAGTGGCTTCCACCAGATCCGTATCCGCGAGGAGGACACCCACAAGACCGCATTCCGCTCTCGGTTCGGGCACTACGAGTTCCTCGTAATGCCTTTCGGACTCACCAATGCCCCCGCCACATTCCAGTCCACCATGAACCACATCTTCCGTGACCTCCTCGAAGTCTGTGTCGTCCTGTACCTTGATGACATCCTCATCTTTAGCCCCACCTTCGAGTCCCACCTTCAGCACATTCGCCAAGTCCTCTCGATCCTCCGAGAGCAAAATTCTACGCCAAGCGCAACAAATGTACGTTTGCCGCTTCGAGCGTCGAATACCTTGGCCACATTGTCTTCGCTGAAGGCATCCGTATGGACCCCTCGAAGGTCACAGCCCTCGTCGAGTACCCCCCGCCCAAGACCCTCCTCCAACTTTGTTCCTTCCTCGGCCTTTCCAACTATTACCGCCCGTTCATTCGCAACTTTTTCGAGATCTCTTACCCTCTCCACGAACTCACACGCAAGGACGAGGCCTTCAATTGGAACGATCGCCTCCAACATGCTTTCGACTTCCTCAACCAAACCATCACCATGGCCCCTGTCCTCAAGAGCGTCGACCCCACTCGCCATTTCTATGTCACCAGTGATGCCTCCGACTTCGCCATTGGAGCTGTACTGTCCCAACATTTCCCCCGCGGCACCGCCGAGACCCCCTCCATCAAGGACTTGTCCACTCACCCCGCGGCCCCACCCGACGAATACCCCATCGCCTTCACATGCAAGAAGCTCCTTCCCGCGGAGATGAATCACCCCTCCAACGAGAAGGAACTCCTCGCCGTGATTCACCCCCTCACAGTCTGGCGCCCGTACCTCGACGGGCAATACTTCACCATCTGTACTGACAACACCATCGTTTCTTCCATCCTCACCAAGAAAGACATCATCCCACGCCAAGCTCGATGGCTCGACTTCCTTGCCTAGTTCACATTCACCATTTGCCACACCCCCGACAAAAGCAACCGCGTTGCTGATGCCCTCTCTCGACGACTCGACCACAAGCCCCCCGAGAAAGTCTACGCCGTCATAACCCATATCCAGCTCCTCCCATCACTCCATCACCTCTCTTGCCCAGACTTCGCCGCCATTTACAACCAGCTCCGTGATCTTGACCCAGTCCCCGACTACTCCCTCCACGATAACCTCCTCTACATCGACACCAAAGGCACTCGCCGACTTTGCATCCCTGACACACGTGGTCTCCGTACCCAGCTCTTGGCCAAGCACCACGACGCCAAGACCGCGGTAGGGCCAGACCCCGGTAGACATTCGAGCCTTGGTCGACCCCTTTGCAGCGCGGGCCGTTTGTCCCAGGGTCACCCCCACCTAGTGCTTTGAGATGGATGGGGGTGGGCCATCGAGCGAGAGAGCTTTGACATTGGGGATGTAGCTCAGCCCTCACGTCGGATGGCAGACTCGCTGGTCATTCCGCAAACGCTGATTTTTTTTTTTCTCTTGGTTGTGTTCTCAAGAAGTGTTGCTTCCAATACGCAGGCAGTCCAGGGGTTCTTTGAGGGTTCTTCTTCTTTTGTACGCAGGCTAAGCGTCATCCTTAGGCCACGCACCATTTCCCTAAGCACAGCAATCCTACGGCGTCATCGGGGTGCGGGACCGCTGTCTTCCCCCTCGCCTCTACGCACCCCTCGCGCCTCATACATTTCATCCATCGTCATTGGAACATGGCCCTTAGTCCTTTCGGGGCCTTCACATGCATGCACAAGCTATTTCACAGTCTGATCAGCCAAAAGCATCACTTCTTTCTTTTTTTCGCATTCCAAGTCTCAAGCACAAAGGTCTCCCTCATGGGCTCGTAGCCCCTTTGCCCCCTCCTCCCCTTTTCCTTTGCCGCCCGATTTCTACCGGCCCAGTCCCGCTCAAGACATCCCAAGACTTTACTTACCTGCACAATCCCACACGAAAGCAAAGACAGATACGATCCCCCATTGGGGTCAACACATAGCCCTTCCTGCATGCCTAATCTTTCGTTTTCTTTGGCTTCTCATTGTTCTCCTTCTTTTGCTCAATCAGTCCCTCCTCTTCTCATAGTCATGCAGTCGGGGAAATGGTTGAGTCAAACTGACCTCATCTTAAGTACCAACTTGGTCTATTCCTTTTTCCCGGACTGGACTCCTCTCAATTGCTCACGTTTCTCTCCCTTTTCCTTCTCGGCGGCACAAGGGACCGGTAACCCTTCCCTTGCCCACATTCTCCGCCAAGTGAGGACAAATTCTTTTCACCGGTCGTCCCTGGCAATGTAACAAGTGAGTGGGGTGGGTTAGTTATATGCCAAGTGGTGGAAGAGGGGAGAGGGTAAGAAGAAAAGCGAGAAAATAGAGAGAAAAAGGAAGAGAGAGAGAGAGAGAGAGAGAGAGAGAGAGAGAGAGAGAGAGAGAGAGAGAGAGAGAGAGAGAGAGAGAGAGAGAGAGAGAGA